TTTATGATTGGTTAGTTGCACAAACAACAAAGGTGATTGGTGCATTCAAACTATTCAACAGGAAGTTTACAATTATACTAGGAAGTGTATGAATATTTCGAGGAACTTGATCAAATGAATTGGTCAGCCCGAGGTAATATATTGAATCAATATTTGAGGAACACTTCAATTGGAACGACAGTAATATTTGATGTTAAGAAATATTTCTTTCTGTTGAGTCCTAGACCTTTTGTTTTTAATTCAAGCAATCAAACTGCCAAATTACTGTAATTATTAATAACAGCATAGGTCATTGATAATTTGAATTTTAGAACTGCTTTGGGAAACCCTATTTTGTAATGAGACACATTACTTCTTGCATTATTGTATATTCTAATGTCAATGGGATAAACTGCTTGATGCACAGTAGATGTTATAATCTTAAATATAGTTGCACTCACTGTTGTATAAATAATTCTATTGTTAAAATAAAATATTACTTTTGACTTTGTGTAATAGTGTTTTCTAATTCTTTGACTCATCAAATGCACAATAATTAAACTTTTCTAAAAAAATAAAATAAATTTGCAAGTACTCTCAGAAATTGAAAACATGATAAACTCTCAATTTTTGCCTTTTGAGTTTAGTGGTTACTGCAAATATCATTAAAACAATGTCCAATTTTAAAAATATTTGGAGACCTGTAGAAGTTTTGGTGCCAATTGAAATTAAAAATTTGAATTAAACTCAGAAAATTTCATAGCAATGGGTAAAGTCATTCCTGATGCAAAAAATATAAGAAGTAATAGTGAAGGGTCAAGTGACAGAATCAAAAATCAAAAGAAAACTTCCCAGGACATTTCATCAGTAAGCAATTTATTTTTAGTTTTTTACAGTGTACTATTACATTGATTGAAATTAGACTTGCATTAACATGATAAATATCCCTAAGGACAAAGTACTATGAAAACAATGGATACAAAATGTTCATCAAGAAAAGTGGTCACCCAAAAAGAAGATGTTTATATGTTCTGATCACTTTTGTTCTGGTTGCATTGTCCATGCTGTTCTGTTCTTAAAAAGCAGACACTTATATGTTCTGACCACTTCTATTCTGGCTTCATTGTTCATTGTCCATATGTTCTG